TGCGCTCCTGCCAAGCCTCGGTTTCTCCATCCGTACAGTGGCTCCGAACCAAATGATAGTGTGTCTCTGGCCTGTCCCAAGGACTGGAGTGCGAGTGTGGTCCCTGTTCAGTTACGTCTCAGGGGAAGGATGGTGCGGCTTCCTCCACAGACTCCCAGGACTGCGTCTCTTATCCAGCCCAAAGTATTAATCTAGCGGTTGGATAGAAGATACTCAAGCCGACCCTCATCCTCCCACCCTGTCGCACTGAGCGCGGCTGGAAACTCCCGGCAGTACCTCTACATTCCCACGAGGTGGCACTATCACAAAGGACAACGCTATCAGAGGTCCCAGAAACCTCTAAAGGCAGGTGGGCAGCCTCTTCCCGCTTGATGCTTTTGGGCCAGTTCAGCTTGTGAGCATTGGCCCTTCCGTCGCCACCTTTCCCTCTGTTGGAAGCTGACTGTACCTTCATTTTGGGCTACTCATTCACTCAGTGATGTTAGCAGAAGGCTTTCCTTGGCCGAGTTCAACTCTGGATGTTTAAAGAAAATCTGTGTTGATATTATTTTTCTGGGGGTGGGAGAGGGACTGGTTTTCTTGTGATGTGAGCAGCCTAAACATTTAGCTACATACCGTCTTTGTGTTCACAAGCCGGAAGCATAAAATGATGGAGTAAGCCAAACCTAGCAGTGGCCCCAACTTACTAGGAGGGTCGAAAGTCTAAGACCTACCTGGGTAACTTAATGAGCTCCTGTCTTGGCCACATAAGCAATAAATAAGAAAGGGGGGGGAGGTTGTGGTAGGCTGCTCGCCTAGTATGTAGAAGCCCTGAATTTGACACACTCATCACCACACACACACAAAAGTAATACTAAGAAGTCTAATTTATCAAGCATTCCCTGAGTCAGGAATATTTTGCAAATATTTCTAACCCTCTCAACAACATTGTAAGGTAAGTGTTTTAATCCTTATTTTGCAGATGGAGGTCAGGATTTATAGTTACTGAGAAGAACTTCTAGGTCTGTCTCCATGCCCTCTACCCTCTATCTGCTTGCCTGCTTGTTTGATTTCTTTTGTTTCTGTCAGGGTTTTGCTATGTAGCCCAGGCTGGCCTGAATCTCATTCTCCTTCCTCAGCTTCCCAATGATGAGCTTATTAGGTCAGATGTGTACCACCTTGCTCAGCTCCCCTATTCTGCCTTCCCACTTGCTTTCTTTAGAACTTTTCATAGGTCACATGATTGCAGCCCTTATCCAAGAAACTGGAACTTGAGACCTTCCTCTCTCAGCCTTCAAGTACTGGGATCACATGTGCTCACACCAGGCCTGACTTGAGCTTTCTATAGAAGTTTTAGGTGTATGCATATTTTGCACGCACATATGTACACGCACTACATATGTGCTGGGTACCCATGGAGCCTGAAAAGGGCATTGGATCCCCTGCACTTAAGTTACAGATGATTGTGAGCTGCTGTGTGGGTACTTGGAACTGAAACCTGGTCCTCAGCAAGAGCAAGGAGTGTTCTTATTTACTGAACCATCATCCCAGTCCCATATACAAGTTTTAAATATATACAATTATTTATTGTCCTGAAGATTGAACCCAGAGTCCCACTCACACTAGGCTTTTCATCGAACTACATCCTGTAAGTATTTATTTGGAAGAAGACATGACAGTGACGAGACAGTCCACAATATAACAGACTGGTAAGCACCCCCCCTCGGAGGAACCCAAAAGTCCTGGTCCCTGGAGCATGAAGTCTCTTCTGTTGCTACTTTGTTAACCATCTCAGCTCTTGGCTGGGAGAGTCTTTTATTGCTGGTAATCCTCATGTGAAGTCACACCTAAAATGATTGGTGTGAGTGTGGTATCCAGCTGAACTGGAAAAGAAATAGTTTTATGTTTGTTTAGTGAATTTTCGGCTGGAAAAACAGTGGTTAAAAACTCCCTGCCTTCCTGGAACTCATATTAAGGAAAAGAAATTATAAAACCATAATCTACAAATGTGGGAGGTGGACACATGCTTATAAGTACCTACTGTGTGTAAGGCACTGAAGAAACCATACAGAATGAAGCAGATCCAGTCGTTTCATCCTCAAATTTATGTTCAGTCTGGCAGATAAGAACTTTGGCCAGCCAGTGCCACACAAGCCTAGTACCTAGAGTCTAATCCTGGGTACCCACAAAGGTAGAAGAGCACAGACTCCACAAAGCTGTTCCCTGATCTTCACACACCATGCCATGGCCTTTGCCTCACCCCCAACAATAATGTAATGCACAGATAGACATGCAAGCACTGAATTGTAGTGAGTGCCTCAAAGGAGAAGACTGGAGATCTGGAAAGGTGTTCGGGAGAAGTGACAGTAACTTCTAGAGAGTGAGTAGTGGGGTGGGGGTGGGGGGCAAGGGCCAACAAGTGCCAAGGCATTACAGGGTTTGAGAACACTGGGAAAAGACCAGAGACTCAATTCAAACTATAATTAGCTAAATTTATTAAAACTGCTAGCAGGGCAACAGCCTTAAGAGCCAAATTGAAGGTGTGCTACCCAGAAGGGGCTTAGGGAAGGGTTTTTAAAGGTGAAGATCACAATTACCCTGTTTCTGTGGAGTTTGCAGCCATGTAAGAAACTACTTCACTCCCCTCAGCTATGTGAGGAGCTGTCTCTGCACCCTGTTCACGGCCATAAAGGAGGTACCTCAGTCCCCTGTATACAGTGGTTTACTGAAGCCAGAGCAAGCTGTTAATCATCTCTTAGTTACCTCATTCTGAGAGGGTGCTGGTTGCTTGTAGCTCATCTTTCAGAAATTTAGGGCAGAGGCTAATGGCTATGAAAGGAGATACTTGGTACAGAATGGAGTTTCCTTAGTCATCACAACGGCACACAAAGGTCTTGAGGAAGGATGTAGCAAGTTGAACAGAAGACTAATAGGTCTAGAATAGAGGAGAATGATGGAGGTAGGACAGGCAAAGGCTGGATCTTGGAGCTGTTTAGGAATTTGAGCTTATTTTGTAAGATCTGGGAACATCAAAAGGTCAACAAGAAACTATGGAAGCAAGTATCAGTAGCAGCAATAACAGAGCTGAACTTTGTGGGAAGCCAAGATTTAGTTCTGAAGGGGAAGGAGGCTGGGGAAAGAGGCCTACGTTCTAAGACAAAGGAGGGGATCCAGCACTCAGGATGCTGGAAGCAGGGGATCATGACTTGATGCCAGTCTGGGCTACACAGACCCTGTCTTAAAGTGAGTTCCAGGGGGTTGGAGAGGTGGCACAGAGGTTAAGAGCACTGGCTGCTCTTCCACGGGTCCTGAGTTCAATTCCCAGCAACCATATGGTGGCTCAGTCATCTATAATGAGATCTGGTGCCCTCTTCTGGCCTGCAGATATACATGGAGGCAGAATGTTGTATACATAAATAAAAAAGTGTTAAAAAAAAAGTAAAGCAAGTTCCAGAACAGGCTCCAACAGGGATTGGAGGGGTATCTCAATAGGACTTGCTTAGCATGTACAACCCCTAGTGTATACCACCAATAAATAATAGAAGCAAAGAATACTTAACCCTATGGAGAGAGGCTTGTGAAACTGAATGAAGAGGGATGACTACAAAGGTATAGCAAGCACACTTGGCTCCTTTGCAAAATAATCAAAATGTATGTCTTATGTATATATTTGTATACCCAAAATACAACATGAATGTCCACAGGTGTTATTTTAATAGCCTTAAATAGGAAACAAATGTCTATCAAAAGTGGAATGGGTAAATGATAGTGTAGTCACACAATGGAACACTGTGCGGTTATGAAGAGTGAAATACACCCAATAATTTATCCCATGATTATCACTAACATAATGTCAATAAAACAGATACAAAAAATTGATTCCACCTATGTGAAGTCTAACAGGCAAAACTGACCTGTGCTACTAGAAGTCAGAATGGTGGCTCTCCCCGCCCACTTTTAGTCATCTAAAAAATTGTGTGTGAGTGCGGTGGCGCATGCCTAGAATCCCAACACTTGGTAGTAGAGTCAGCAGGATCAGGAGTTCAAGGCCAACCTCAGTTCTCTTGTGAGTTTGAGATTAACCTGGGTTTCATGAAACTCAAATGAAAACAAATTATGATAAAATACATATACCACGAAGTTACCATTTGCATTCACACTATTGTATAATAATTCCCAATAACTAGTTCCAGATTTTATTTTATTTTGGTTTGGTTTTTCGAGACAGGGTTTCTCTGTGTAGCTTTGGAGCCTATCCTGGCACTAGCTCTGGAGACCAGGCTGGCCTTGAACTCACAGAGACCCACCTGCCTCTGGCTCCCGAGTACTGGGATTAAAGGCGTGCACCACCAACGCCCGGCCAGATTTTATTTTTTAATATTTATTTTCATTCTATGTGTATGAGTGCTTGTCTGTATGTGGAACCACAGGGGTGTGTGTGTGTGTGTGTGTATACCAATGGGTGCAATGTCTGTGGAGACCAGAAGGCGGCATTGCATCACCTCAGTCTGGAGTTAGAGGTGGTTGTAACCTCATAGAGAGGTCATATGTGTGCTAGGACTCCAACGGGAGACCTGTGGAAGAGCAGCCAGTGCTCCAGCCCCACTCCCAGAGGGTCTCTGACCTGAAAGAGAAGGAATAATGACTGGCAGAAGCACCTGGTTATGGTAATTGTTCCTTAAACAAAATCTGGGTGTTTCTATTGTGATGATGTATCCAGATACATTGACTGTACTTCTCTGTGTGGATATTATACCTAATTAATTGTAGATAAATAGTTTTGCTAAGTGGTTGTCTCTCACTTTAAAGGTATGTTTCTGAATCCTCTTTGTTTTGCTAATTTGTATTTTTTTAAAGCTGGTCTTTATGAACACAAGTATTACTCTGGCAACAAAATTTTAAAATGTAAATCACTTTAAATAAAAGAAGTATATTAACTTTAATCTTCAAAAGAAAATATTCCTTGTAGTCCAGGGCACTAGAACTCTGCTTACTCACCCTGTTGTATCAGGGTTGACATTTCTGTGTTTGCCCCAGCCCTATATGGTTCTGTGTCTTTCCTGTCACCTCTTTTCCTGGGGGGGGGGTGTATAGAAGGCATGTGGGTACAGATGAAGAGGGAGGGTGTCCCACTCTCCTTGGCCACTGGTTGGTTATCTCAGTGGACTCATCCTTGCCAAACTGGAAGTAAACTTGTAGCAAAACTGAAGATTTGAGAAGATAACCTAAAGATGGAGGTATATAGGCTTCCTGGACTGGCAAGAACAGCCACAGGCTTTAGACAAGTGAGTGCCCCCCCCCCACACACACACATAGGGGCATGTAGAAGGCAGGTGATCCAGAAGTCTCATCTAGAAGGCAATGCATGGTTCCCCTAGTCGGCAATCTAAAAGGCGAATGGCCTTCAGTCTGTCATTAGGAAAAGAGTAAGCGCTCCAGGAAGTTTAGCAACAGAAGTCATTGCAAGCCTTCCTCCACCATGTTGCAGCCACTGGAGCTGCTGTCTCAGGATGTGCTATGATTCATCTCCACTTTCATTTACATCCTATTCAGTCCCTGCAGGCTGTTGCCTTTCCTGCTTCCCAGCTTCCACAGTCCTCCGTGTCTTTCCTAGAGCAGTCATTACAATGGCTAGTAGTAATCTGCTGCCAGTGTGGTCTCTTTAATAGCTGGAGCTTAAGTCATTTTGATATTGCCTCCTCAGCTCCAAACAATTCCAGGCTCACAGGACATACTCAATACATGACCTAAATAGTTGAAGACAAATCTACCCTTGAGCCTTTCCCCAAGTGGTGTGACTGCACACTCTGCTTCTCTAGGCTTCACTTCTTGGGGTTCCGATCTCTTCTTGAAGAAACTATTACACATGCATAGACCCTGCACATGCCCTGCACCCGTAGCATAGATCTAAACCCACTTCCCTGTCATCTTCCTTCTCCTGTGCTTTGTTGACTTTCCCTTCAAATTCTTCCCAATATCCTTTTCTTTCCATGCTGGGGATTGAATTCAAAGCTTTACACACTCTAGGTGACCACTCTGTCACCAAGCTGCATCACTACTCGCTGGACACCCCACGTCCAAGCACTTGTTAATTAATTTGCGTCTGCCTGCACTTACAGAACAGGAATTTACCATGCACACAAAACTGTCTGCCATGCATTACCATTTTTCTGTTAAGCCCTCATCTTAAGCCAGGCCTTATGCTTGTTCATACTCTAGTTGGAAAGGCAGTGACTTTCTGTAGAAGGATTTTATTCTAGAAGAGTGTAGCAAGGTACCTTACTCAATCCTTGGTCAGTCACAGCTTCCTTGAGGAACTGAAATTCCTGCAAACACTCAAGTTTAAGTAGAAGTTAGTTAGGGGCCATGGGGTGATAAAAGAGCTGAAGGGAACTATATGTTTAAAAGGCTGAGGGCCTGGAGGGGTTAAATATCCAAGGATCTTAACAACATTGCCAATAGCTGAATGTGGAGCTGAGGACACCGTGCCCAGATGAGGTTAGAGAAACAGGCACTGATGAAATGAAAGAAGCCTTGCTGTCTCTGAGTCTGCTTCAGACAGGAATCTTTGGTTGAAAGTGACCACTGATCCACTAAGAAAAAAGAGGTCCTTTATGGGTTCAGTAGCTAAAAGTTCAGGGCTTTCAAGATCAAAGATGTCATTGAGTTTTGACACCTCTCTCATCTTTGCTCTCCTTTGTGTTAGCTTCATTCTTTCTCTGTGAAATGGTCCCCTGATCTCCCCAGAACACAGAAGATGACTGGAGTGGAAGGGATCATTGATATTGGCTGCTTATCCATGTCAGAACCTTCAAGGCTACCTTCTTTTCAGGAGGTCTAGACCTTTCTAGCTAGATTCCGCTCCCCCACCCCCCCATCCCCCCGCCCAAGGATGGCAAGATCTTGGCCCTATTGTAGCTTATGAAAGCAGAGAAAGGGACAGGTGAAGAAGGGACTCTATTCCAAAACTCCAAAGTGATTTGCTTTTTAAAAACGAGCCAGCTTCGTGTTCCCTGCTTCTTTGTCCAAGGTCCCAACATGCATATTCTCTGCTGCATCCTTACCTCTCCCGAAAAGCAGAATCATTAGTTTGTGTAAGAACATAAGGGAGGACAGGAACCCCAGAAACGCCCCCCCCAACACACCCCACGTCCTAAGAGAGCCCTGACCTACTTCTCTCCCTCCCACTCTCGCTCCCTTCCAGCCCTGCTCAAACCTCTCCAAGTCCTGCCTCAATTTCGGGGGATTCGAACTCGTTCGCTGAGCAGTGGGTCGCTTTCCTTTCATGCACAACCCACCTAGGCAGGCCCAGCCGAAGAGCATCCTACCCAGGGACCACCTTTTTTCCCTGGGATCCCGCGCTTCCGCCTCCGGGGCGGAGACTCCTCCCATCGCAGTCCCAATTGTGTTCCCTGGAAGAGCAGCCGGGACTGGCAAGAAGCCCCTCCTGGCATTCCAGGAACGGTTCAACCCTGGAGGCCGGGAGCCCTAACCGGGAGAAAGCGGCTGCGAGGCTTCAGCACCACGGACAGCGCCCCACCCGCAGCCCTAGTGTCGGCGAGGCCGCGCGCTATGCTGGCGGCATGGCCCCGCGCTCCAGCTCTATGGCGCTGCTCCTCAGCTTCGGCCTTCTCTGGCTGTGTTCAGGTAAGAACTGGCCGACCAGGATCCCCTGCCTCAGCCAGTGGTTCAGGACGCCAAGTTCTGTCACCCCTGCCAGGACAAAGGCGAAACAAGGGATTCTCTAGAGGTGGAAGAGCGGGCTGGGGGATGGGGAGAGACTCCAGGGTCTGCAGGGAGCGCCTGGAAGACTAATCTGGAAAGAAGACCCGGGCGCAGGCGCAGGCGCAGGCGAGAGGCCAGGGAGAGGTGGAAACCTGACCGTTGCAGGGAAGAAGCAAATGAGCACAAAGAGGAAGGAAGAAAGAAGAGGATCCTAAGATGACAAGAGGCTTGACAGCATTTGACTTTTTGACCCGGGTTAACGCCTTCTTCCCTGCTCCCCTTCGTTTCCCACTTCCCTCATTTGGGTCCTGATTTGGGTCACCCTGCAGGGAGGCACAAGGCTGGAAGGGAGAGCAATGACTTCCCACTTCTCGGAGAATGGGTCAGGAGACTTGGAAGAGTAGACAATGCCAGACTGAGGGCGAGGGAGGCGCTCTGCGGGGTGTTCAGGAGGTGTGCTCTTGGAGAGTCACAGAAGGGGAGGCATGAGGAATGGGCCAGTACAAGGCAATGAGCATTCCACGCCTACATGACAACAAAGGGGGTGGGTGCTTGCACCCACAGGTCAGGGTGGGGACCATTCTGCTCCAACCCATGGAGGCAGAGATCTCAAGCTTCAAGGCTTGTCTCTTTGAGTCCTTTTGGGGGAAAACAAGTCCCCATTAATCTTTGCAGAGTGGTTGGTTAGTCTAAAGGCGTCTATGATGCTGTTTGGACTTGTGGTTTGGTCTCAGAGAGGGACTTACTTAGGAGCTTCTGTGGTCCTGTGGCATAACTGAACATTTTCCAAACTCCTTTAAGCACAGGGCTGTGAGAGGCTATGACTGAGCTAATTGATCAATCACCCCACTCCTTGAGTAGGGGCCTTTGTGAGCCCTTCTGTTCACTCATTTCCTGCCCTGCCTTGCCCAGGGGTTTTGGGTACTGACACAGAGGAGCGACTAGTAGAGCATCTCCTGGATCCCGCCCGCTACAACAAGCTGATCCGTCCAGCCACCAATGGCTCTGAGCTGGTCACTGTACAGCTCATGGTATCACTGGCTCAGCTTATCAGTGTGGTGAGTGTGGGTCTCAAACTCTTTGTCCAGCTACAGAAGTCAGCCCAGCCAGAAAGGGTTAATACCCGAGCTTATTCCTTAGGCGCTTCTAAAGTGGTGGTGGTGGTGGTGGGGATCTTAATAGGGTGGTGAGAGGTCTGAGGACTGGGGGGCCTTCTCAGCAGCTGCCCTGTTTCCCTGCAGCATGAGCGGGAGCAGATCATGACCACCAATGTCTGGCTGACCCAGGTCAGTGCTCTTTCCTACCCAAACCCCCCTCTTCCCCTCTCCCTCCCTTCTCTCTTTCCATCTCCTTCAGAAAGGAGTCCTCAATAGATGGATTTGCATCCTTGTTCGGGCCGCTCACCAGCACTGTAATTATTAATTTAGAGTCTGATCTTGCTGGATTGCCCTGGCTGACCTAGAACTCACTATGTGGATCAGGGTGGTATTAAACTCACAGAGATGTCTGCCTGTCTCTGCCTCACTAGTGCTGGGATTAAAGGTACCTGCTTGACTCTGTGATTTTAAACACATTAAACACTCCCAAAATAATTCATTTTCAAATCTATAAAGTCTAATACCCTGGCTCAGCTGTGTAAATTAAGTGTAAGAAGCATCATCATATGACCTATGTCTGGGCAGAGAAGTGTGGTGTGGAGAGAAAGCTGACTTTTCAAGTTTTCCACAAGCCATATGAGTTCTCTTTTGTCCCCTTGACTCTGGGCCCCCTTTGGGGCTAGAGGTTGGTACTGCCTTGTTCTCTCCTTTTCCCAGGAGTGGGAAGATTATCGCCTCACCTGGAAGCCCGAGGACTTCGACAATATGAAGAAAGTCAGGCTCCCTTCCAAACACATCTGGCTCCCAGATGTAGTCCTATACAACAAGTAGGTGACCCTGGAAGACCAGAGGTGTGCTTGGGAGGGGATGAAAAAATCATGGGGTGGGGATCCAAGAGGAACATGCTGTTGTGAGAAGGAGGGGGCTTTTCCCTGACAAGCTGTAGACAGGCATTTTCCATACAGACAGACCCAACTAGTGGAATGCAGTATGGGGCGCCATGGCGACACTTGGACTTTGATCAGCCCTTCCCAGCTACTTAGATTGCCAGTATTTGGAGCTGGGGTAGAGAGAGTGAAGATTGACAGTTCTCAATGTCTAGACTGATTCAAGAATGGGCATTTCTGGAAGCCTGGGTGGTAACAAAGAACTTATGGTTCCTGTTTCACCTAAGTTCCGTTCTGTTCCCTTCAATGAGTCTTCTTACCTTTCCAACACAAAACCTCCTTAATGGATGGAACCGTCCATACCCCTTCATTGCTTGGGGCTCCTTGCTCTGGCTTCTCTGGCTTCCCCACCTCTTTACCCTCATGAGGTCTAGTCAGCTTACACAATGTGGGAAAAGTAGCAGATTCACCCCCCACCCCCGCCTCCTTTATTCTCCTCTACCACTGAAGGGATATGAATACCTATGCTCAGCTCAATTCCTGCATGGTATCTGTATTAGATGGTCACTCCCAGCCTGGGTCCTCCTTGCTGGGTTGATAAGTGGGATGCAGGGTTGACAAAGCCCTCAAGCCAGGGCTGACTGCTCCATTCCTTGGCAGTGCTGATGGCATGTACGAGGTATCCTTCTATTCCAATGCGGTGGTCTCCTATGATGGCAGCATCTTTTGGCTACCGCCTGCCATCTACAAGAGTGCATGCAAGATTGAAGTGAAGCACTTCCCGTTTGACCAGCAGAATTGCACCATGAAGTTCCGCTCATGGACCTACGACCGCACGGAGATCGACCTGGTTCTCAAAAGTGATGTGGCCAGCCTGGACGACTTCACACCCAGTGGCGAGTGGGACATCATTGCGTTGCCAGGCCGGCGCAATGAGAACCCAGATGACTCCACCTACGTGGACATCACCTATGACTTCATCATTCGTCGCAAGCCACTCTTCTACACCATCAACCTCATCATCCCCTGTGTTCTCATCACCTCGTTGGCCATCCTGGTCTTCTACTTGCCCTCGGACTGTGGTGAGAAGATGACACTTTGCATCTCTGTGCTGCTGGCGCTCACGGTATTCCTGCTGCTCATCTCCAAGATTGTACCTCCCACCTCCCTTGACGTACCGCTGGTGGGAAAATACCTCATGTTCACCATGGTGTTAGTCACCTTCTCCATTGTCACTAGTGTGTGTGTGCTCAACGTGCATCACCGTTCGCCCACCACGCACACCATGGCTCCCTGGGTCAAGGTGGTCTTCTTGGAGAAGCTGCCCACCCTGCTCTTCCTGCAGCAGCCACGCCACCGCTGTGCACGTCAGCGCCTGCGCTTGCGGAGGCGCCAGCAGGAGCGCGAAGGGGCAGGCACGCTCTTCTTCCGTGAGGGCCCTGCAGCTGACCCATGCACCTGCTTTGTCAACCCTGCATCAGTGAAGGGCTTGGCTGGGGCTTTCAGGGCTGAGCCCGCACCCGCAACTGGCCCAGGGCGTTCAGTGGGGCCTTGCAGCTGTGGCCTCCGGGAAGCAGTAGACGGTGTACGCTTTATTGCAGACCATATGCGAAGTGAGGATGACGACCAGAGCGTGAGTATGAAGTGTGAGATAGGCGTGTTAGGAGCAGGTACCCCTGTGTGCCGGGAGTAGGTGTTGCTTAGAGTCACAAAACAAGAGTACAGGGGAGAGGCAACATGAGTGAGGTGGGCTCTGCCGGGTGGGCTGGCAGACTGATTTGCCTGCACTCGAGTCTGTACCTGATGGATGCAGCTCCCTGAGGAATAGTACTCGGGTGAGATGCACCCACTGGGACACCCTCAGTGTTAGGGAGGTAAGCCAGGAACCTTAGGGCAGGGAGGAGTTCTTTTGGGTTTGCGGGTGTCGCTGAGTTTTTCCTTGTGGGTCACGTGACCACATCCAAGCGTTAATGCAAATGGAGATGAATCCTTGTGGACCACAGAGCAGGCAAAATTGAGGACAGCGGTGATGACATATAGGGAAAGGCAAGTTTAGAGGTTCCATGGGGTTGATTCCAGGGGAGAGAACAGAATTTAAAATCAATATCCCATTTCTACTGTCCTAAGCCTTAAAAAGAGTCTAATGAAATATTTATAGAGATGGGGTGGGTAGAGACCCAGGTTCCCTGGAGTCATCTCTCCCTCTTTCTGCACATCCAGCTCCTGGCGCTTTTTTTTTTTTCTTCAGTCTTCCCAGAAGGGGATTCCTTAAGACTAATCCAGGAGTTGGGGGAAGGTGCAATAGGTTGACAGTCTATCCCCCCCCCCCATTTTGGGTACCATCTGGCCTTCCCTGAGATCAGTGTCCAGGTACTTGGCTGGTTCTAGGCCAAGTCTGAGCTGTTGCTATAGTGACTGGCAAGGTTTCCTCTGGGACTCTGCCATTCCTGCTGGGGAAGGAGAAAGGGCTGGCACTGTGGGTTTTGTTGGGAGCCGAGTTCAGACATCTTTACCTCTGGACAGCATGAGACAGGGAGCATTTTGCAGTTCAGAGGAATGCAGATGCGTTGATATTGGAGATGAGGCCGCTGAGGCTAACTGGGAGATACTGGGGTGCAGGGCTCAGCTGCTGCCAGATCACTGGCCTCCACCCCCGCTGCAGTCCATCATCTAGCCTGCATTTCAAGCCAGGTGCTGAGGTGCAGTGACCTACTTGGAAGCCTCAGAGGGACCTAGAACTAACACATTCAAAAATCCAGTGCTTGATCTACACCCCCAACCTGACCCTAACTTGCCCCTAGTTTCTCTATCTTGTAGTAAGTGGCGTTACCATGGGCTAAGTGGTTCACACTGAAGACTGGTGGGGGATTCTTGACTCCCCACTCCTTACTTCCCATCACTGAAGTTATCAAAAGTCCTGTCCTCTGGGTATCACCTTCAAAATGATTCTCCCCTTTGTTATTTTTCTACCACCTTTACACTAACACCCTGGCCCTTCGGCTGCCGTCAACTTCAGCTCTTGTGTGGACAAGGGGAGACTGATTGCCTCCCTGGTTCAGCTTCCTATGCTGCAGTTAAATAACCCATGCCGTAGGCTCCTGACACTGCCCCTTTGCCTGGGTCACTGGCTTATCACTCAGTTGTCTCAAGCAAAGCTAGACTCTCTCCTGCCCTCGAGTCTTTGCATCTGGGTTCCTCCACCTGGAACGACCTGTGTATTAGTTACTTTTCTCATTGCTGTGATAAATTCCAGACAAAAGCAGCTTCCGGAAAGCAAGGTTTGTTTTGGTTTACAGTTTGAGGTTACAGCCCAAGGTGGGGAAGGGAGTAAGGAGCAGGAGCATGGGACATGCAGTCAGGAAGCAGGGAGAGGTGAACGCTCATGCTCAACTAACTTTTTTTTTTTTTTTCTTCTGTCTGGGACCCTAGCCCATGGGACAGTGCTGCCTGCCTCAGTTAATCTAATCTAGAAAACTCCCCACAGACTTGCCAACCACAGTTCCTCCTCTCTCCTCTCCCTTCCCTCCCTCCTCCCCCTTCCCCCCAAGCCCACTCCTCAGACAAGGTAAGGCCTCCCATGGGGAGTCAGGAAAGTCAGTTGAGGCATGACAAAAACCCATTACTGTATTGACTTTTGCTCTGTTATTTAGGAGTAAACCTATTTATAACCCATTGCCCCAAACACTTCATTATGTTTCTCCTTAAGAACAGGGTACTTTCTTGCATGACCCAGCTTCAGGGCTGGGGATGAGGCTCAGTGGTGGAGGTCATGGTTAGCATGTGAGTTCCAACTGCAACCACCAACCAACCAAAACAGCAATGAAGGGCCAAGGTTCAAAGACTGGATTCTGGAACCAGCATCAATACTTTTACTACTATAAAGTCCACATTCAGGCTTTCCGGGTTGTCCTAGTGCTCTTCTCAAGACTACCATTCCTAGATCTAAGTCCCTGAGTTGCGTTTAGTTGCTAAGCCTCATTAGTGTCCTCCCTCAGATTTGCCTTTCATGGGATTAACAGTACAGAGGAGACTGGCCAGGTGAGTAGGGCTCTGTTGGCTTTGCCTGACCATGTCTTCATTGTGACCTTGACACAGGGCTTCCTTCACGCCCATCTTGCTCTAAGAGCCTGGAAGAGGCATTTCCAGGCCCCACTCTGCCCCATCTTCCTTCTGTTTCTTCTTTCTAGTCTTCCATTCCCACTCAGTGAATAATCTTTATTGTCTCTGTCTCCCTGAAGAGACTGAAAACCTCAGGGTTGTTTATTTCACTTGGTTGTGTCCCAGTACCTCTCAGGATGCTAGGTGTGTGACAGGCCCAAATGTGACTTCAGTGAATGACTGGCTGTCGACTGCATGGAGGTGCACAGTTAGTTGCCTTCTTCCCATCCTGTGATCTGGCTGGACCCAGAGGAACATGTGCAAAGATCAGACTCAGTCTGGAAGAGAGGCTGGCTCTTCCTGAGACCGTGTAGTTGGTTCTCAAACCCCATGGGCCATTATTAGCTTTCTGGATGATTTTCTTTTTCATACCTGGGCTCTGTCCGAACCCCCTGTGTCTCTGTGCAGGAGTGAGGCTGTTGGATGGGGTGTGCCCCAAGCTATCATGAAAGTACAGCTTCAGGGGAAGCAGCTCCAGGTTGCTGAGCACTGTCCCAGATGCCAGCAGGGTTTCTCTGATGTAGGAGTTTGCAGTTTGGTGGATGGCCAGACATACAGATGCAATATGGCATAGTCTAAAAACTATGATGGCAATATATAACCCAGTGCCAAGGGAACAAAAGGATCAGAGAAGCCTTCAAAAGGAGTATACTTGATAAGGACTTTGAAGTATGTGTAGGAGTTGGGTTGTTTTTTTTTTTTTTTTTTTTTTTTTTGGAAGTAAGAGAAATAGGAAGATATGATGGCGTTTTTACTAAGTATGAAGTTTAGAGTGTGGGAGCCAATAAGAAATAGGCTTCTGTTTGTTATGGGTAGATTTGGATGGGCTCTGGGGGTAGTGGGGACACGAGAGTACTAGAGAGCAGGCAAGAACAGGGCTGTGAATGGTTGTTCTGGGTTTGCTGAGGAAGGGGTGGGGTGGGGTGTGTGCATGTGTGGTAGGGACTTTCCTATCATGAGACTGATATCTGGACTACTTACATTTCCTCCATCCAGGTGAGGGAGGACTGGAAATATGTTGCCATGGTGATCGACCGCCTGTTCCTCTGGATTTTTGTCTTTGTCTGTGTCTTTGGCACCATCGGCATGTTCCTGCAACCTCTCTTCCAGAACTACACCGCTACTACCTTCCTCCACCCTGACCACTCAGCTCCCAGCTCCAAGTGAGGCTTCAGACATCTGCAGCTCTTCACCCTGTGACCCCTGGGGTTCAGTAGTACTGGGTGGAAGACGGGTCTGTCCCCACTCCACGGAAGCCCTATTTCACACCACCATTCTCACATAGCCCTCCAGCCTGGAGGCTGGACCAGCTGCCTTGTGTTCAAGCCTTCTCCTTCCCCTCCTGAGCTAATTCAGGCAACAGTGTTAATGTTGGGAGCCAGGGCTGGTGAGTAGAGGCCAGAGGTCTTAGAGCCAGCCACCTTGAGAAGGGTGCTGGAGAAGGGGCCAAGAAAGGGACAGAGTTATCTGTGGCCTCCAAGTCATGTAGAAGAGGAGGTGGGAAGAGGGGCTCAGATTCTCCAGCCAGGCTGACAGTGGTGACTACTGAGATAGATGCAGAGCAGTGTGGCCAGGAATTGGTACCCACCCTCTTAAGTGGACAGCAGCTGGTCTGGGAGGACTTGCGGTTTTAGGGGGGTCTTCCTAGGAGCTTCAGCTGGTCCTACAGTCTCCCGGGGCACTTCAATTTAGTCTCACAGCCTGTGCTTTGGAGGCCTCCAGAGCCCAGTTCCAGGTTCCCTTCTGCCGGTGCAGAATTCTCTACACCCCTAGATTTCCCTCTCCTTTCTCACTTAGAAAGGTAAGGAGTTAGGGGAACCTCTGAAGGTCATGAGCGAGGTGAGAATTGTAGGCTCACAGTCTCAGAAGAACTCTTACAGTGCTGGATTCCAGCAGGAACCATGTTACAGATCCAGAACAGGCCTGGAAAGTGAGGAAGCCCCTCCCTCTTTGCTCCAAGGCCACAGACTGCTTGAAGGATCCAAGGGAACTGTGAATCTGAACTGTGCCTTAGTGCACTTCTCAGTTGTCAGATGGGGTCGTGGGCATCTCTGCTTGGTGTCAGGAGAGACCTCCTTCTACTAGAACAAGAAATAGCCTGTATTAGGCCTCCCATGCCCCAAGCTTCCAACCCCAGAGAAAGCACCCCAGCATCATGAACAGCAACTAGAAAGGCATTGCCCCTGTGGAGGGCAGCACCTGTGCAGGCCTTCCAGCCTCTGTGAGACCCTATCAGCTGTTGCTGTCACTACCTTTGACTTTACTACCTCTGTAACTGGTTGTTGTACAAATTGGTCACCAGCCTGGGCTGGAAAGGCCAGAGAGCAATTTGTTCCAACTCCTCTCCATGTCCTGTTGAACATGTCAGACAGACAGTGCCCATCTTAGAACCTGCTTTCAGCATTTGTACAGTGGGAACAGAGGTTGGCAGGGCTGTGATGGGTGCGAAGGACCCATTGGTGTAAAGGGTCCTGGTTCAGTGCTATTTCCCATTTTGGGTGCAGCCTTTTGTGGAAGAGTGCCATAGGTGAGGGTGGTGGAGGCTGTCAGGTGTCAGGACAGTGAACCCTGAAGTATACCGGGAGACTTTGGGGAAACTCAGTCCCTGCCACTTTGGGGCCTTCTGTTTCTACCTCTGGTGATGTTGGGAGGTTCCTTGCCCCCTACGTGGAGCTGTCTGTGGAGAGAATTAGGTACCTGGCTTGTTGAACCTGGATGGGAACCTGGGACAGGGTGGCATGGGAGTGGCAGTGAAGAAATGAGTTGGGATTCCCATCAGTGGCCAAGCTCCAGTCATCTGGCAATCACTTTTGCCTGGAAAGATGGCCCACAGGCTCCCTGCCTATGTGGAGACCTACAAGTCTGTAGCAGGTAGTGCCAAGAGTGCAGAAAGCTGAAAGCACGCAGAACACAGGGCCTCCAGACTTTTTTTTTTTTTTTGAGGCTGGGGTGACTAGAGGAAGGGAAGGACTTCCTTGTAAGGAACAAGGACAATGGGGGACTGGCCACTGTGCCTATCTATCCTCTGGGACTCCACCTCCGACAGTCCTGGGGGGAAGAAAGCTCCCCAGAGACCAGGACAAGCAGCAGAACATGTCTTTAGAGTGCCTGGTACCTGTCACTGCCTGTCATCAGGGCCTTTGGGCAGGTGGGAGACCTCCTAGGGAGGAAAGCAAAGGTCTTTAGAGCTTTCCTTGAATTATGCCCCAAGCAAGGTGACATAGTTCCTCTGCTTCCAGGCAGAAGTGGCTGTTGAGCCTCACTTACATTGGCCAGTTTCTCATTCACCAAACTCAACTGGACAGAACAATGCCACTTGTAGTAATTATTCCATCATGTCTGAGAAGTCTGTCAGTGTGCTGGTCACATGCTTCCCAAAGGACTAAAACTTTGGGAACTGGTAGGGCACCCCACCCACACACTTTCAGTACACTCATCTTTACGTGTCCTTGTCTCCACTCCTGGACTATTTGCCATGGTCCACATTTCACCCCCTAAACCTACCACCCCACCCCCACCCCTGTAGCTGAACTCTTAGCTCTTAAAAAATTGTTTCCAAATATGTCTTGTTACTTTGTTTGGTTTGGGGAAGGGGGCTTCCAGACAAGATTGGCACAATCACAAGGGGAGAATGCTAGAGAACCCCTACTCAAGTAAGGGAGGGTAAGGTATTGCACTAGTCAGAACAAAAGGTGAGTGGCAGCGTGTGCTGCCCGGTCAGCATCATCAGCTCCCCTTATCAGATGCAAAAGAAATGGCCAGGAGGCTGGGCCCAGAAGGGACCTTTGGGGAAGACTCTCTGTAAGGAACCAGCAGGGGCAGGGTGGGCTGGGGTGTCCTTCCCAGCCCATGTGGCTTCAGTCAGCTGGCAGGCTTGATCTGTGCCCAGATCCTGGGACCAGAGTGAAGCCGTGGGTGAGCCTCTGAGGCTTCACGTCAGGTTTTAAGAAAACTGTCTACTATCTTCAAATCTGGGAGCCATTTGTGCATACCAAGCGGTACTCTACCCTAGCAACACTTCTAGCCTGCAATGCTGGCTACATCAGAGACTGGAATACTCTGTTTTCGCGCACATGGGCCAGTGGCTGCCTGAGGACAGGGGCATCTGGGACTCCAGGACAGCAGGAGCTGTCACTTTGAGCTGCCTTTAAAACTGCTCAGTTCCCTGAGCACTGCACCTAAACAGGTGGTGAAAATTACCACATAAGGTCTTGGTCTTAAGTGCTGTGACCTGAAACATGTCACTGGGTCTTCTGACCTCAGTGTCCTGAGGTATGATATTCCTGTTGAAAGGCCAAAGTCCAGTCTTCCCGGGAATTCTGGAGGAAGTTACTATGTAGGAAAAGCTAAGTTCCCTTTAAGTTTAAGAAGGAGACTTAGGATACCAGTCACAAAGTTAAAAGATGTACCCAAATCCATCCCGATTCCCAGCTGCAACTCCCTTCCAAAGGCACATACAGGAGTGGTCAAGGCTGAATGCCGTGGGGAGGAAAACATGGGTGAAGCTGGCAGGAGCAGTGGTTTGTGACAGTCTCCAGTGCTGTTTCTTCATTTGGGGCGTTGGAATCCTACATAAACCCCTTCGAACAAGAAAGGAGAGGTGGGCTCAGATGGGGAGGGGTGGTGTGAAGCAGTGAAAAGAGCTGAGGTCATGACTGGAGTTCCCAATTCATTACCTACCTACTCAGGCTGTCGGAGCAGTGGGGACCTCGAAACAGCTGTGGCTGTGGTCAGAGATTTATATGTCACAGGTCTCTGTCTCCAATCTCACCTCCCCCAAGCACCAAGACATGAAACTTTCTAACAGTCCTGTTGCTTCAGTGTTTTTATTTCTGAGAAAGGTATACTGTCATTTAAGGGACACAAGAAGGGACTGCATCCATCACAGCACCAAGGCTATGCCTGGGCTCTTCCCTACTCTTCTCTTGGAGTCATGGTCAGAACCCCAAGGCCAACAAAGACCCCTTCAACTTGAGTACAGGAAATAGTTTCAAGCATTGACAATTCTTACACGTGATTAGTCAAAGAATGCAAGACAGCCACAGTTCAGACAAATCAACCACAGAAATTATTAAACGGTGTGGAGGGAAGGCCTTGCTTCTCAAAAGATCCCACAAACAAGTGAAGAAAACACGGTGGAAGCTCTGCCTCTCTGCTTAGTGGCTCACTTCAGCGGGCCCAGAGAACAGAGGGCTACCTTGCTCTCCTCCATCTGCAGACACCCAGAACCACAAGTTTGTTAGGCAGGATCTCGAGGGTAAAGATGGGGTTCTGGCTGGAGAGCCCGGTGTGCCTGGTTGAGGAAGAGGCTACTGAATCAGCTCTGCCAAATGAATACCCAGGAAGGACCAGAGGGGCCAAAGGAATCAATGGAGAAGAGTCCCTGACCTGCATGGCTCTGCCTCAGAAGCAGGTGCCAGAACGTAACATGCCTCCAGCTGACACCACAAACATGGTGCTACAGCAGACACGAGCAGTTCCCATACGATAATTTGGTGTTGTGCAAAGACATCCCCAGTGTATTAAGACATAGGTTCTCGTGTTGGTCAGGTTTGATCATAGGTTGAGGAGACAGTAGCCATTAGAATCAAAGTGCAAATGATATAGTTGCTGTTGGCAGAGGGCCAGAGAGGGTGGGAGAGTCAGGCAGCACTGAGGGGTGGGTGAGCAAGGGAGTGCAGGAAACCACTGACTTGGCTGTTCCCAGATGGAGCCACACCATTCAGAGGAAAGGCATGGGCTTGGTCCTATGGTGCAGAATGGAGCAGGGTCTAGCTGTCTGATTGACCTGATGCTAGAGCCAGACTCTATACAGAGGCTAAGGCTCCTACATACCCATAATTCAGTGTTAGGGGGAGGAGGAGTCAATGGAGCCCACCCCAGAGTGGGAGGCTAGCCTGTTCTGTCTCCTATAACACTGCTGTACATTATATATATATATATATATATATAGATTCCTGAAGAGGCGGGGCAGGTCAGGAGCTCAAAGTCCCTTTGTGCCTCGCCCATGAACCAGCTTCTGAAGCCATCTGTTAAAATGAAAGTACATTCACTAATGCAAAAATATATTTGTATCTCAAGTCTGTAATGCAGTCCAGAATCAATACCTCTGGCCTTTTAGAAACATTAATTTTACACAAGGCTTTGTCAACTTCTGCTGGTAACAGCGCCATGAGAAGAATCCCACGTGGACCAGTACCTCACCAACATGATGGTTTGCATTTCCCTTTGTTCAGTCTGGACAAAGATGATCTACCCTCCATGACTTGTCCTCAGCTTTTCACAAACAGCTGGTCTGTGCCCCATGCTACACGTGGATAGAGCCAGATTCCAGGAGTGCTTTACAGAAGGGCAGACAGGAATGTGGCTACATCCCAGGGGATGTTGCTGCACCCAGTTAGTGCTCTGTGGGTCCCCACTGGGGACCTTGCTCGGCTTGAGCACTTCCCCAGTTCCACATCTGGTTCTCACCTTCTCTGCTGCCCAGGAAGGGAAGTTCCCTGGCGGGCCAGCACGGCCTGTTTGTTACTGGGCAGGGCTTGCCTGTCCCAACCACATTCTACCACATTCCCACTGCCCTACAACCCCTGACCACAGTTTTCAACTCCTGCCCTTGTAAACATTTCACCAATCCTTTATGTTCACCTCTTCGTCCTCTGGAGTGGGGAAGGAGAAACATCACCACAGAAGGAATCCTAGGAGGGGAGATTAGGGACCCGCAGATCTACAGAGGTGAAATCATAGTCCCTGACATGATTTACAGAGAACTGATGGGAATGCAATCAAATCCACAAGAGGTCAGTGTAGCAAAGGAAAGGAGATGGAAAAACTCCACGAAACTAAACTGGAAGGGACCAGGCTGCAGGGGCTCGGGGACTGGCTATGCTACATGTGGAATGACAGTGCCCCCTCTTCTTTAATCTCTGCCTCTTCATTTGGGAAAGGGGGCGGGGGCTTGGCCAAACCCCCACCTCATAATCCCAAAGCAAGCAGGATAAATAGGAACCCAAGGTCCTGGTACCGTCTACTATGGTTCCTCCATTAAAAAAGGGGGGGAGGGGTCTAAAAAAAGCCCCTGAACTCTGGCCCAATGTGATGAGGAATGCCATGAACTCCCTCTGACCCCATGGGAAACACGCCCCACTGTCAGTCATTGGGTACTGGACAGAGATAAAAGTTCTTTTCCTCCTGGGGTTTGCTGATCCAATTCCCATAGCCCATGTCCCGCAGGCTTTTCTTGAAGTAGTTCTTGGCTAACTCGTAGTCACGGGCAGCTTTCTTGGCCTCACCGTAGGAGAGCTGCAGTAAATCTCTGCGGGCACGGAAGGAGCAGAGCTTCTTAAACTGAAGGAAAATATTCTTCTTGGATACCCGAGACAACTCCTTCCCTGGTCTAGGGAAACAGCATTGGTTATTCATCTGGAAGCAGGTGAGGGGGGCTAAGGTGAATCTTACAGAAGGTGGGTGGCCATTAACTCTGGAGACTAGCAGGCACAGGCCTGCCCTTGTGACTTCCCACCTCCTTACCCATCCACGGTGCCTCTGGTGCCATCCAGGATCTCTAGGTCGTAGCCATCGGCCAAACACCAGTTGACGCTTGTTTCCTTGGTCTTTCCGGATTGCCTTTTGGAATCATACACACTAACTCGGCCGACCTAGGAGCCCATGGAGTGATGGAAGAAAGGGAACACTTTCAGTGCAAAGGTTTGGGAATAGGGATGCAAGACTTCTGTGTTGGGAGTACGATGCCCTGATCTTCCCCTTGAGAGCTGCACTAACTTCACCATGGCTCAGATTTACTTCAGACAGAGCTTAAGCCTAGACACCCAAAAGGTAGAAAAGCTGGCTCTTGGGAGCCCAGCAAAGTCTTCCCTTCCCACAGTACACAGCTTTGTATAAGAAGGAGGTATGTTCCAAAAGCAAACAGAATGGGGTTATTGCACCTTGGGGTGGTTGACGATAAAGGGATAGCGTAGTCCGTCCTCAAATGCATTCCCATCTCTGGTCACGCGGCAGCAAATAGCACGAGTCAGATGCCCTTGGCTGAAAAGGTAACCTGGGTGAAAACAAAAGCAAGTTTGCATCTGGGTCTGCAGCAAGTGCTACCAAGAGGAGAGGCACACAAGGAGATGGAGGATGAGAAAGTCATCAGGACAGAAAAACAGCTCCTTTGATTCGAAGCATCTGTGACCACACAAGACACATGACAGGGAGCAGGTGGGAAGAAAGACAATAAGGCTCTAAGGGTCTTCACTGCACCCCCAGACCCAGCCTGGCGTATCTTTCTTCGATTTACTGACCATGCCCACCTTCCCTGCCACAGCAGACTGGGCAATTAGACCCCATTCCTAAGGTAAAAATCCAGCTCTCTTGCATACAGGACAGCATGGTCTACAGCTTGCTAGGATCTGAGCCAAAGTCAGGTGGGTTCCAGCTCCCAAATTAGTCCCTTACCTAGTGTTACAGATTTCAGGTACACAGGCTGTAGGAAGTGAGTCAGCAGTGCCCCTTGCAGGCCCAGCACATTCCAGCGTAGGATTTTGTCACTACAGGACATGGTACGGAGTCTTTCCCCAAGGCGGATACCATCCCACGTGGGTACAATGTCACTGGACTCCACAGGAATTGTGCCTTCCCCTGCATGAGAGATGAGCTATGGGCCATTGGCTGCTCGAATTTTATAGCACCTACTACATGTCCTACTATGTGCTTGATACTGAGAAACAATGATGAGCAGAACAAGACTTTGCTTCTTGCTATGTTTGTGGGATGAAAGGAAAGAAAGGGAGAGGAAAGACCAGCAAACTGACACACATGCTCATAGTACTCACAAGACTCAAAGGGTGCTCTGATGGGGACAGTGTGGAAATGGTGAGGGCAGAGGAGCCAGGGGAACTAAAGCAAGGGGAAAAGAGCCGCATGAGTGTCACAGACACAGAGAACAGCACAAGCAAAGGTCCCGAGACAGCAAGGGGTCTGGGTCTCAGGGAAGGAAGAGCAGGTGCAGCAGCAGCAGCAGGCTGAGAGGAAGAGTGCAGGTGAGGCTGGAGGCTTCTGCCTTTGCAGAGTCCAGTGGGGAACCACGTTCCCTCAGCTATTAGTCTGTTCTGGCTGGTTCTGTGTGTCAACCTGACACAAGCGAGCATTAACAGAGAGGAAGGAGCCTCAGTTGAGGAAATGCTTTCATGAGATCCAGCTGTAAGGCATTTTCTCAATTAGTGATCAATGGGGGAGGGTCCAGCCCATGGTGGGTGGTGCCATCCCTGGGCTGGTGGTCCTGGGTTCTATAAGAAAGCAGGTTTCGCAAAGCATGAGGAGCAAGTCAGTAAGCAGCTCCCCTCCATGGTCTCTGCATCGGCTCCTGCCTCCAGGTTCCTGCCCTGACTTCCTTCAGTGATGAATAGCAATGCTGAAGTATGAGCCTAACAAACCCTTTCCTACCCAACTTTTTTTTGGCCATGGTGTTTCATCACAGCAATAGAAACCCTAAGACATAGCCCTAGTTTTGTATTACCATTTAGTGCGAAGGTGTAGTAGGGGTGCGTGTTTGTACTCGTTAGTATAATTATTTTTGTGTGCATGCAAGGACATGCGCAGGTGTGTGTAGGCCAGAAGCTGATTTTGGTCGTCTTTCTTTCTCTCATCTCTGAACCTGAAGCTCATTCATTTGGTTAGGTAAGGGTACCTGTGTTCGTTCCACTCTAGCCATTGTGACTTATGTTACCATGAGCATGCCTGTTCGTGTGTTTCTGTGGACACACACCTTCACTCCTTAGGTAATGCTCTAGGAGTAGAGCATGGCTTGTATGGTGACTGTGTTCATACTTTAGGGTATGTAGTAGGGAGAGGAAAGGGCCTGATTAATGTCTGAGGACCATCTGGATGGCACTGAAGGATGAAGGGACAGGAATGAGGTGAGGAGACACTGGAGGACACAAGAGAGGGTTCTGGAGGGCAGGGTACCGCCTCAGCAGGAGCTCAGGATGCTGGCTGTTCAGCAGGATCTGTCAGTTCAGTGGACCCCACCTCCCATCCGTTCTCTTCATTTCTGCACACCCCATTTTCATGACCATGACACAGAGGGTGGCTCTCCTTTTATTTTTAGCTAGACTCTTCTTTGAGCTCCATGGACACCTCTGCCTCCTAAGCAGCCTAGAGATGCCCTGTTCTCCTGGGCTACAGACTTCCCCTTGGAACCTGACCTCCCCCTCATGTCCATGCTGCAGCCTCGATGCCCACTGGCAGTCTTGCAGAACAGAACCTTTGTAAGTAGAAGGGAGGTCACCTGTCACTCACCATTTTCCACCTTGGTGCGAAGCTTGCCTTGCTTGGGATTTTCAAAGACAGGGTAATGGCGGGACTCTGTGCTTTCCACAGCACGGTCACTGCAGGATTTGTCAAAAAGGGCTCCATCTCCACACGGTGCCGTGCTGCCAAGCAATGGCATTAGTTAAGATGACTCCCCCTGCAGACCTCCCTCCAACTCATGGGTCTTGAAACCCATTGTCATCAAAGCCAGGGATGTTTTCTTAAGCCTGTATGGGTACTGGGTGGCAGGAACGCCTTTGCCATCTGGGTATGCACCTCAAACACAGAGCAGACACAGCTGACAGGTCAGGGTTTGGAGCCAGAGGAACATGTGGACATCCAAGCCAGGGGTACAGACCTGATGTAGAGGTGAAAAGAAACCGTCTTTTTTATCTGGAGCTTCTCTCCTCCCCTGGCAAGCTCAAATATGCTGTTCTTGGCAGTGTGTTGGTTATACTTCATTAGTTCACTGTAGAGAAACCTACCAAAAGAAAGCTGGCTGGGAGGCAGCTCCAGTCTGGGCAGAGCAGAACACACCTCCACACTCTGCCCTTGGTTTGAGCCCAGGTAAGGAAGACCTCCATGGTACACAGCTTTCAGCTTCTCAGGTGGAAGAGGGACCGGGAAGATCTCTGCATGTCATAAGAGGTAGCCTTTGGAGAGGCCACACAGGATTCCAGGCAGAGTGCACTGATTCAAGACCTTCCATGGCTAGCTGCTGCTTCTCCCTGACTTGCTCTTCACAAGTTAAATGTGACCCCAAAAAGAAAGCTGGCAGGGACAGAGATTGAGTACAGGTCTCAGCTGGAGGGAGAGGCTGCTTCATTCCTAAGGCCTGAGAACGAAGAGGTCACTTTGGAAAACATGCAGCCAGGTCACAAAAGGAACAGGCTGCAAAAGACAGGACCAACTGACCGCTGCCAATTTGCCTGGGTTTCAATATGAGTGGACTGGTAGCTGGGAGGGCCCCACAACAGCTAAATGCTCTCAGCCATCTTGCTCACCTGATAAAGCCCCTGCGGGAGATGATTTCTGCATGGCAGTCATTGACTGTTTCTCCCTTCAGGCTGAGAGAGTCGCCTTTCACACAGCGATTCCCTGGGAAAACAAAAAACAAAACTGAAACAATCAGGGTGCTGGTGAAGCAGGTGGAGCCTGAGGGGCAGAGATGGCCTTGAGCTGACAGACTTTAGACTCTCTGCCTTTCACCTGGAGAAGAGCCCACCCCTGGCAGCACAGTAATCTTGCTATAACCTCAGCATCTGAAAGGCTGAGGCAGGAGGATGGTGTGTCTGAGGCTAGCCTGGGCCACCCTGCCTCAAAACAAACAAAATCCCCAAGCCAAAACAAATCCCAGTCAAACCCCAAACTCAGTCCAAATCTGCACTGACTATAGGTGAAATGAACAGAAACCGAGTGCTCCTTAACTCAAACGCTGAGGGCCAGAGAGACTGCAAGGACTCTGGGCTATTTATGTAGTGTTTACAGCTAAGCAGTTAACAAAAAAACTTAACAGCTCCAATTCCAAAATGTTTTGAGCATCATGTCACAACTTTGAAGACATTCAGTCCATGTGGAGTCTTTTGGTCCTCACCTTTGGATTTCCTCACAGTGATTCCACAGAGGCTGGGAAAGACCTGCTCCTCACCAAGAGGCCAATGTCTCAGGGTGTACTCACCTGTCCCCAAACTGACAACAACACCCATGTCCTCAGGGTCTCTCTTCATAATAATGGCAGCCAGGATCTTGCGGCCGAGCAGGGAGGGCTGGAAACTGTTGGTGAGAGCATTGAAGCACCGGTGGCTCAGCATAGCTATCTGGTCATGGAAGGTGCTGCCACTGAGAGGAAGCTGTGGGGACAGGAGCAGTGTCGGGACCAGAGACCTCTGCCTGCCTGCCTGCCTCCTGTACATCTGTTGGCAGGGAAGTCATCTTCCCCCATCCCACATCTAGCACCCCAGACATGCACTCTACTGAGACCAAGACTGAAGCCTAGAGATAAATAAGGCAAAGTGAAGAGCCAACGTCTTCTGGGAGGAGCAAGCAGAACCCCACCCTCATCCCCCCAAAAAGAGAGCACCAAAAGCAGATGTCTTAACTGTCTTTGGATGTGCATCTGGGGACCTGGAAAGGAGGAGCATAGTTCTTCTGAGACTGGCCCCTGTCACTGGGGTTACCTCTGCGAAACCCAACTGCTCTGCCTTCTCGCTCTCCCCGATCAAGACACGGAGGGCTGCATCGGCTGCATCTTGCTTGCCTTGTTTCTTGCTGTGTGCACAGACGGCTGGAAACCAGCGGCCCCCAACTTTTGCTTGGTAAACAAACCTTTGGGAAGAGAATGAGAATGAAGCCAAGCAGTGGCAGCCCCTGGTGGCTAGCTGCCTTTGCTTAGAACAAGGCCACTATTGCAAACCAGAGGACTGCTTGTCTCATTTGGAGGCACTCCTCGGATTTTGGTTATTCATGAATTATACGGTTTTTGTTTGTTTGTTTGCTATCCAGATGTCAGTTGCTCTATTTCTTAGTATTTTCCTTTAACCAGACCTATCAGAACTATAAACATATTTTAAAGGTAAATTTTATCTCATTATATAAATGGGAACAGTACTACTTCACATAAACTGGAAGTGACTATAAAATTCATATCATCTTTTAAATTCTGTCTAGACGCTGTAGCGTTACCTGCAAAGGCTCCGAGCTGCTCCTTGTTAAAAGGGAAGATGAGAGAGTACTGGAAAGGGTTTCTTTACGAGCTGGGAAGATGGCTCAGTTGGTAAAGTACTTGCCTTGCAAACACAAGAACCCAAGTTCTCCCCCCCCACCAGAAAAAATGCTTGGCATGGTGGTGCAGCATGCTTGTAACTCCAGCAACATAGGCAAAAAGACAGGTGGATCCTTTGGGCTTGCTGACTAGCTGGCCTAACCTGGTCTGCAAGCTCCAAGCCAAGTGAGGGGCCCTGTCTCCATATTTAAAAACAAAGAAACAAAAGTAGAAAAATAGTTGGTGACTGAGGAATGACATTACACCCCACCCCACAATCATGTACGCACACACAAAACAGGTTTCTTTTCAAGTAGAAATGAAGGATATCTGTCTCTCCACATACTCAGGTATTTAGCACTGTCTGACTCCCCCACTCTAAGAGGCCAACCAAGGGCTCTACCACTGAGCTGTGTTCCCAATACTGAGTTCTAAAGTATCCAATTTTGTTTCCTTGTATACCTCCTGACAACCCCAGAAAGGTGACTGCAACAAGGTCTGCCTTAGGCCAAGGAGCCAAACTTTCACAAGGAATTATTTGTCCATTTCCTGCAAGCTTGTAACTATGGTGGAGTGGGGGGAGGAAGGGAAAAAAAGGACCATGGGCTCTGAAGTAGGGAGGAGTCCCTACTGTAACTGGGGCAGGCTCCCACAAACTCAGAAGGAAGCCAGAGCACAGCAGTTTGGAAATCTACCAGCCTTCTGGAATCCTAGCTTTCAGTCAGATCCTAATGCAAACGTAGCTCTGGACAAGCCAATGGTGCACAAGAGAGAGGCACAGCCCAGTCTTCGCCATCCATACTGAGCTTCCCACTGTCCTTCAGATATGAAGCAGCTGAACGCCTCTGTTCCTTTCTTTGCTTGTGCTGACAGGTCTCTGCCAGCCAGTGGGCAAAATTCAGAATGAAGTGAGGGCAGCGAGAAAAGGTCTGGGTGAGCAGAGAAAACGCCAGGGCCTCTGCCTCTGGAGACCAGGAGGAGCTTGTGGCCATTGTCTTTGGAAAGGATAAGCCCTGTATACATACTTTTGTGTATGCATGACAGAATGTGATTAAGCTTATTAATTATGAAATCAGAATCCTTTAGAGCCATGCTTTCTAATATGGAAGCTACCAAATTTAAGTGAACTAAAGGATTAGGTGAATGATTAATTCAGCCCCTCAGTCATGCTGGCCACATCACAACTGCTTAGTAACTGCATTCAGACAGTGGTTGGGCTTTTTAGCCTAGTAAGTTGAGATTTTACTTTTATTTTCAATTGTGTAGGTGCAGCTATCTGTGCAGTGCCTGTGAAGGCCAGAAGAGGGTGCTGGATGCCCTGGGAGCTGGAGTCAGGTGGTTTTGAGCTGCCATGTGTGGGTGCTGGGAACTGAGCTGGGAACTAGGGTTCTCTGCAGGATCAGACTGCACTCTTAACTGCTGAGCTATCTCTCCAGCCCTCAGAGGGAGTGAAGAAAGTACACAGTGACTATAAACATTCCTTTTGAGGCGTCTGGTATCTAGAGTAGCACAGAAATGGGGTAGAGCCTGGAGAGAAGCAGGTCAAGACATGGTCTCTCAAAAACGGCTAAGAGTTTGCATACATACAGCTGAGGTCAATAGGCCAGGAGAAGAAGGGAGATCAGGAAACAATCAGTCCTTATGCACAGAAGGGGAGGGGACCTAGACTTGATGTAGAAGGAAGGATGCTTCCTTCAAACTTCCTGACAGGGGCAAGGTAGGCAGGTGGCCTGGTTTGGGAAATAAGCTATCAGTTTAGACTGCCAACAGTGATTTAGGTGGGAATCTGAGGCAAAGACCTGGAGGGGTACTCTCAAAGGAGAAAACAAAAATTAGCAGAAAAGTGCTAATAAAGGGACAAGAGACCACGGATGCTCTACTCAAACCTTCAATGACTTCCTACTGTTTTTATGGTAAAGTGACAACCTACAAGGCAGGCCCTGTGGGCAGGCCATGTGCCCTTCAGCAAACAGCTGGTAGAGGCTGGCCTTACCCTCACTCCCTGCTCATCCATCACATCTCTCGGTCCCTTGACTAGGTCTGTCCTCCCACCACAGGAACAGAGATGTACAGTTGTGTCCCTTGGTGTTCATGGGAGGTGCTTCTAGGATTCCCCAAGGACACTGGAATTGCAGAACACTTAAGTTCTTGATGTAAAATGGCATGGTATTTGCAAATAAGCCATGCACATTCTGCTGTGTGCCTACATCATGTCTAGCACACAACGGCGAAAGCACTATATCAGAAGTTGTTAGCCGGGCGGTGGTGGCACAGGCCTGTAATCCCAGAACTCTGTGATTTCGAGGCCAGTACTAGAAATCCTAGTGGCTTGAGGATGGGTAAGCAGTGGTGGTGTTTACTACGACAGGAAAGTCTTGTCTCAGAGCTCCGCTTAGGATATGTCTGATTAGAAGTTAAAGTACGTAACTGGATACAGGAATGTGGAGCTTTGAGAGGTCTGGGTTACAGAGACATGTTCAGCACTTTCCAGCATTTAGACATTAAAACCAACAAGTGAGTTAAGGTCACCAAGAAAGAGAGGGAAAAGTGGATGCAGCATAATACACACAAAGGAAGGACCACATGAGATGGAAATAAAATAGCTACTAAATTGGCATCTGCCTCCCAGGACAAGCCACACGGCAAGTCCAACACTGTTACAGTCCTAAGTCTGCTGCATCTCATGTCTTTAATTCCAGTTCCAAGGTTCTTATGTTCCAAGTGAATTACTGAATTCCCAGAATATTACAGAAGGTGTCACTAAAAGCTCCCACTATCATGTGACCTAGCTTAAAGAGAAGGAGGCTCGCCAGAGGGAGGGGCAGGAGCCCATGTCCTCTTTCCCCCTCTTTCCCAGCAGCTTCCACACTGGACAAAGGCACCCTGAAGTGGGGGTAGTCAGGAGCTCTTCTGGGCCCCGTTAGATTGGGGCATAATCATCACAGGACTAATGTTTTTATTGTTTTAAAAGCTCTAAAAGACTAAAGAGTAACACTCTAAAAGAAAATGGGTTATGTCAAATGAAGTAGTTCATGAGGAAATGCAAATACATGTGGACTTGGAAACATCAATGACTGCATTACTAAAAATAAAGCAATTTTAAAATAGCAAGACATTAGTTTTAATTAAAAGTGCCCCCCCTCCCGGGAAGCGTGTGAGTACTCGCGTGCGCGCACACACACACACACACACACACACACACACACACACACACAGTGAACGTATGGTGCCCAGAGACAATCTGTGAAATCAGCCCTCTCTTTTTCTACTATGGGTCCTAGGGATAGAGTTTAGGTCATCAGAGTTGGTACCCTTATCCAATAAGCCATCTTGCTGATCCAAAAGATAATTTAAAAAATTAAAAATCACATACACACACACACACACACACACACTAAATATTTGCCCACGTGGATGAACGTGTACCATGTACATGTCTGGTGTCCATGGAGACCAGAGGTGGATGCCCTGGAACTGGAGTTACAGATAGCTGTGAGTCACCCTGTGAGTGCTGGGAACCAAACCTGGATTCTCTACAAGAGCCTCCTAGTGCTCCTCACCCTGACTCATCTCCCTAGTGTCCCTGCCCCATGTTGTTTTTATGAAGATTTTTCTCCTTACTTTTTAAAATTAAAAAATTCGATATGGGGGTGAGGGGAGAGATGGTTCCTCCAAAGGATCTCGGTTTGATTCCCAGCACCCATACGGTAGCTCCTAACATCTATAACTTCAGTTCCAAGGAATTTGGCCCTTTTCTAGCCTCCACGGGCACTGCAAACACACGGTACACCGACATACATGCAGGCAAAACATCCGCACACATAGAATAAAAATGTTTACAGAAGGGCAATTGGAAAGGGATGAAGCGGACAGAAGTTAATGTGCACCGTTTCTTACCCTGAGGTTACAGGCCACCCTCACCCGCTGACACGCAGTTGTTGCCAGGACTAAGACACTCACTTGGGTTCATGAGGAGGTCCGGACTGGTCAATCAGCTTGAACTCAGCAGCAAAGCCATGGGAGCGAGCATACTCTAACAGGCCGCCCACGGGGTTGGTGTTCAGGTACCTGACGAGCTCACCAATCCTCCTGATCTTGTTGGGTGCCACAGACTCATCAAGTGATTCCGTGTTCACACCTCCAGACTAAGGGAGAATTAGTCCAAGAGGAACCAGCAACATGTCAGAAAAGTCAGAGGGACACAAAGACTTCTCTGCCCACACTGTAACAAATGGCTTGTGATTTGAGCAGGACAATGCCCTACCTGGTCATCAGCTGAATTGGCTGCCTCCTCCTGCAGAGCCTTCATGGCTTCCTCTGCCGCCATCTGCTTTGCTACTTTCTTGCTGGGGGCACTCACAGTGGGGAAAGTCTGGGCTCCTACTGCTACACAGTATTGGAATCTTAGAGAAAATGATGGGCAAAGGATCACAATGGCTGGGCTGCAGTGATCTGCCTCGCCCCTGTCGGCGGCCACCCTCCATTACTTGTAGCTCTTATTCACATCACCTCTGTGTAGTTATTTTGGCCTTGGACAGCTAGTGCGAACCGCCCATCCACTGCCCCCAGTCTCGTGACCTGGCTAACCACTCAACATGCAAGTGTCACTCCTCACACCCTCTAGGAGTCTTCTTTTGAACAAGTATGTGCACAGAACCCTCAAGCAGGGAGCTGCTAAGGCATGCCCAGATTCTCAACCTTCCTGTCCCAACAGTGACCGTCAAGCTGTCCATGCTGTGACCCTACCTAGTCCTCGGTCCCTTCGAACTCCTAATCCCAGACTCTCTGCTTCATAGCAGCAGCAAGGCCCTGAAGGCCCCTTTCCAGACTGTAACGGGAAAGACCATAAAGAGGAACGACTTCTCATCTCTGAGGTAAGTGTCTTAGCTACTTTGGGGGAGACATCCACAGGAGACACCACACATAAAGACATACTTGGGGTCATGGGCAGGGCCTTCTTTAGACAGGAGGCGAAATTCACAGGAGTTCCCTAGTTTGTGCATACACTCGAGCAGTGTGGTAACTGGGCTCTTCCCAGAGAATAATGTTGCTGAGGAGCTGGAGGTCTGAGACTCTGCTGGCTGGAGAAAAGAAGAAAGCACAAGCCAAAACTCTTATTAGATCACCATAGCAGAGGGCAGTGGGGTGTAGACACTTTATGGTGTTGACACTTTATCTCATTGTTTTTGAAACGATGTCTCCTCCTACAACCCAGGCTGGCCTTGACCTTAAGGTAATCCTCCTGCCTCAGCCTGCCAAATGCTGCAAATACTAGTCACTATGCCCAACTAAGTCGTTCTTTCAAGCAACTAAATGTTAGGAGTGGCCTTCTAAAGGAGAAGAGAGGAGCGTGAATTCAAAGTCTGTGATGGTTGGTTTTTAACTGTCAACTTGACACAGCTAAAACCCAAAGGAAAGGTGTCTCAGTGAGGCGCTGTCTGGATCAGACTAGCCTGTGGGCATGTCTGAGGGATTGTCCTGCTAGCTTAGCTGATATGAGGAGACCACCCTAAATGCTAGTAGCCCAGATAAAAGGACATGGCCTGGAAGGCTTTGGTTGTTTTTTTGGTTTTGGTTTTTGGTTTCTTTCAAGACAGGGTTACTCTGTAGCTTTAGAGCCTGTCCTGGAACTCACTCTGTAGACCAGGCTGGCCTCAAACTGACAGGGATCCACCTCCTCTGCCTCCCTAGGGCTGGTATTATGATATTAGAACTGGCTTTTCTGGACATTAGAGCAGCTCTCTGAGAACTGCTCAAGCCTTCAGTGCCAGGTTGGGACTGACAAGGCACTCAGCCTCAGGGGCTCAGTAGCTACCAGTTTGCAGCCTCCTAGCTGGGAGACGGCCCTCATTAGACCACTCTGACCATACCAAGTGTTCATCTAAGAAACCCTTTTAATTATTTGTTATATAAGTTCTGTTCCTCCAGAGAATCCTAACTATTATTGCTTCTTTTGACCCTGACACTCTGCAAATACAATCAGACCAGGAAGGCAGACCAGGAGCTGGCTAAGAGGAAGGGTAGGCAGGGGTGTGAGGAGGGGTAGGATAGGGGTGCTGCCTCAGGATTGTTGACTATTTGAGACAGGACAACTTCCAGAGTCTGTCAGATCCTGACACACAACAGCTGAGGGTTACTGATCCCAGGGAAGAACACCTACCTTCTCTGAGTCTTCGTCCATGGGACAGTTCGATAATTCTTCTGGGTTTCCACTGTCTTTAGCTTTGGCTTCCCGAAGCAGAATGGCCATGGCTTTCATTGCTGCATCCTGCTTGGCCACTTTCTTGCTGCCGGCTTCAGCTGGTGGAAACTCTCGACCATTGATGACAACCTGGAATTTAAATCTTGGTGGAAAGTGATTAGATGTGTGAACACCAGGTTGGGTCATCCCTCTGTTCATTCAAAAGAGATCTCTCTCTACCCCAGGATGCTCTGATATACCAAGTACCTACTAGGGTCTCTATCTCTACACAGCCCTGGCTGTCCTCAAATTCAGAGATCCTCCTGCCTCTGACTCCCAGTACTGGCATTAAACGTGTGTGCCACCACACCCAGTGGTGTCTGTTATTCATTGATTGTGTTAGTTTAGTGTGTGTGTGTGTGTGTGTGTGTGTGTGTGTGTGTGTGTGTGTGTATCACAGACAACATGTGGGAGTCAGTTTTCTCCTTTCGCTACATGAGTTCAGAGGACTGAGCTCAAGCTGTCAAGCTTGTGGCAAGTATTTTTACTTCCTGAGCCATCTTGCTGGCCCACCATGTTTTAGAGACAGGATTTTGCTGGCCTTGTACTACACATTCTCCTGCCTCTGCCTCCCCAGTGCTGGGATTGCAGGTATGCTGGCCCGCTATCATTTCTTTTTTGTTTTTTGTTTTTGTTTTTGTTTTTCGAGACAGGGTTTCTCTTTGTATTGTTTTGGCGCCTGTCCTGGAACTAGCTCTTGTAGACCAGGCTGGTCTGGAACTCACAGAGATCCGCCTGCCTCTGCTTCCCAAGGGCTGGGATTAAAGGCGTGCGCCAATGCCCAGCTTCCGCTATCATTTCTTAACAATAAAAAGTGCACAAAAGAGATAGGTGGACAGTCTTGCTAACAACCCCTGGCCAACTGTGTGGATTGGCCTCCTCCATGGAGGTCCTAAAGGCATTGTGCTCCTTTTCAAAGTCCTCAGACCACAGCAGACACCTGCCCTGTAGCAGGGACCTGCTAGATGGTAAAAAGGGAGGAAGGGGAGCTGGGTATGAGAGGGGAAACAGGAGGCTGGAGGGTGGTTGAGGAGCCACTCTGAAGGTCCTGTAGGTGGGTGATGTGTCTCAGGTCACTATAACAATCTGTCCTTCTTAGATTGCTGTGCAGTGCTATAGCTCTGCCTGTCCCAGGTCTGGGATGAAAATCAAAACACTTGGCCCTAGACTCTGGCCTTAGCCTCAGTCTCCTTGGCTCAACCTTTTAAATGTCTGAGCTTTTTACTCAAGCTGGATTCATTTCATTCATTCAGAGAAGGAGGTAAGGCCTCCTACTTTCTAGGTCTTCAAAACACTCAAGTATAATATAACATTTCTTTTCATTCCCCTCCCCCCCTTTGAGGCAGAGTCTTACTATGTATTAGCCCAGGCTAACCTGGTACTCCCAACACGGAGTCAGTCACTTGAGAGCTGGGATTATGGGTGTGTGCCACCACACCTGGCAGCATTCAAGTTCTTTATATAGTTGAAGTCCAAAGAATGACTAATGGCAAAGCCCCCAGCTTTCCCTTAATTCTTTGGAGGAGTGGTGAGAGAGAGAAAGAATGCTAGCCCCTAGCCCCAAAATGGGTCCTGGCTCTGTAGTTTGGGGATAAACATACCCCCTTTGTTTAGCAGTTCTCCTGAAGTGGTAACTTGGTATCATGAAGGAAGTTAAGGAAGAAACAAGTCACTGTGGGGAACCTACACCCCTGGAAACCAGGGGTCACACATCAAATATCCTGCACATCTGCACTACGATTCATAACAGTAGAAAATTTATAGTTATGAGATAGCAAGGAAATCACTTTATGGTTGGGGGTCACCACAACATGAGGGACTATATTAAGGGCAGAGAATTAGGAAGGTTGAGAACCACTGCCACAGTGCCAAAGTCTGGCCAGCTGCCTGAGCTCGGGAACTTGACTTCTTGGCTCAGCAGCAGCAGCAGCAGCAGCAGCAGCAGCAGCAGCAGCAGCAGCAAGTGCAGTCCATCTACCTGTGCAAGGGAAGTGTGCGAAAGCAGAAGTACCACCTTTGATAAGACTGGCAGGCAGCTTTCTGTGTTTGACACATCCTTTCTTTCCCTTTAAGCGGAGGCTGGGGTGGGAAGTGCACCTGCTTCTGCCTAGCAAGTGCTGTTATTCTGCCTGCTCAGCCGGCCCCAGCCCACCTGCTCAGTTTGGCAGTGATGGCCTAAGAAGGTAGATACGGGCACACAAGAGGTAGTCATCTCTACGCAAGTTCACTTCGGCCAGGAGAGTCAATCTCCCCTTGCTCAGCCAGGATTCTGGCTACCCTGAGGTCTAGCCTCCACGATTAGCATTTAGAGAAGGGACGAATCAAGGATGATTTAGCCAAAAGGTGGAAAAGAGAGAAGGCAAAGACAGGAGCCACCAAGGCCACCACTGACAAATGAGCTGAGACAGTGCAGGAACCAGAGCACCTGACTCAAAGCTAGGCATGATACCTGGGTGGTCTCTTACCGAGGTTCATGGGACGGTCCACTCTGCTCTATCAGGTTGAAATCACAGGTCTGACTAGTGAACTGAGCATACTCTAACAGCCCGCTGACAGGGTTCTTCAGCTGGCACTCGGTCAGCTTCTTGTATGGTGAACACCGTGGCAAGGTAGGGCTGTAGAAGGAGGGCATCTCCATGATGGCTCGAAACTCACCTGGTGCTGTGTGGATACTATTCAAGTTATCTGGGATGTCATCTGTGGCCCACTGGCCATTTTCAGAGTCAGCATACCCTGCTCTAGAGGGGCCATTGTGATAAGCGTGTGCTCGCAGTCTCACTGGCCCTGGTCTGGCCTCATACCTACTTTCATACTTTATCACAGGCTCCTGCCCATTCTCTACTTTTTTGGGGGTTGCCAGGCTGCTTGAGGCACCTGATGGGGGTGAGTGGCAGATGGGGAATGAGGTGCTTCTGGTAGCCTCTGGGACAGCTGCAGGAACACCGTGTGTACTTCTCTTTATCTGCAGCCTCTCCCGCTTCTTATCCGTCAAGCACCAGATGGGAGGCGTGGCCCCTTGCCGGTAGACATCGCCTTGCCTTTCCAAGTCGATCAGCACTGCGTTCACATCTCGGGCCTTGGTGAGGCCAACGTTCTTAGCCAGGTTCAGGGCAGAGGAGTTTGACACATTGAACAGGTAGTCACAGATTTTCTCCTTGATCTCCGCCATGTCAAGAGGCTCAGGAAGTCCTTCTAAGTCAGAGGCGGGGTCTCTGTCTTCACTGTCCAAACCAGGCTCTTCCTGAGGGACTGTCTGGCCACAAGTATCTGGATTCACAGCTCTAGAGGGCTGAGTCCAAGCCTGATGTGGGGGTGCAAGGCTCCACAGAGGAGGAGATCCCCCTCTTCTATGCAGCTTCCCCTTCCTTTCCAGGGAGTACAATATACGATTGATCTCCTTCTTTGGAACCCTGAGCTCTCTGGCTAGTACCTGGGCGCTGGTGGCTTTCCCCTCACCAAGCTCCTCCAGGCGGCCTAGGATCTTTTGCTGCGGATTCTGACTGATGCTCAGCTCCCGGAAGTGTGAACAAAGCCTGTCAGCACCTCTCCATGGCAGACTCCTACTGCTGGGTGGGAGAGGAAGTGGGAGTCCTGTGTGGAACCCCTGAGTTCTGAGAGCCACACTTCTGGGGAAACCCCAGATTTCCAGTTGCTTGCCTTGGGCAGGTTGCCCTGGGAACCTGGGCCAGTGTCCTGGGAGGGATGGCGGCAGTGACTGGGACTGCTGTCCAATCAGGGGTGCTTCTGGGAGCCGCCCTTTGAGAAAGTCTATCTGCTGGAGCTGGAAACTCCCGGGGTAAGACTCAGGCCCATGTGGCTGTGGATGTCTCCACTTGCTATGCTCATAGTTGGGGTCCAAGTAGGAGCGTGCCTGGTGAGGGAACACCCCTGCAGAAGACAACATGGAGGACAGAGCTTGAGTTAGAGTCATATATGAGCCTGTTGCTGTCATCCCTCCAGTTTCTGCCTGGGAAAGCTGTTCCAGATTCTTAGTGGGCAGGGTAGCTGACTGAGCTGTGGCCTATGTCCTCACTAGGTGACTTTAGTCCACTACTGCCTACTGCTTGGGAGCTTATCCGGGACACAGAGAAAGAGGGTGCAAGACACACAGCCCCTTTAGTCTCTAGAGTTTTGTCATGTGGATGATCTTGACAAGTGGAATTTAAGAGTGGATGAAACTTTCTCCCAGCTGAAGGAAGAGTGTAACTAGCAAGAGCCATCTCCATGTGGTAAAGGGCTCTCAGAGATTTACCTGTTAGCCACTCTGGTCCCCGGAGGATCAGAATTTGGTTTTAGGGAAGCTAGGGAGTTGCTGTCTAAAAACAGCAAGTGGTCTTTCTTCCCTCTTCAGTTGGCATCAAGGCTCACCGGGACATGGGAACAGGCAGGGTCTATTCACCACTTCCATCCTATCTCCCCAGCTTCCCATGCACCCTGCTGGAGAGCAGTGGTGATTTGCTCATGGGATGGGAACAGCACTTTGCTTGCCTTCCCCATGCTGGCAAACTTGGAGCAAACATACAGTAATGTTTTTGAGGCATTCATAGCCTTCCCCTGACTCTCTTGAAGGCTACAGGGGAGCTGAGTCACAGACTTCTGTTCTCCACCCTTTCATGACTGGGTATCTTACCCATCCTAATCACGACTGTAGTAACCCACCATGGGGCTCCTTAGCTTCTACATCAGTGACTTACATCATCAACAGTCAGCTACATGTGCACTCTGATCACAGAAAATTTGGGTATATGTTAAAAGTGTAAATGGCAGAGCACATGTATGTTATACTCTCTTCTAGTAAGAAAAAGGGAAAACCCACAAGAGTGTATGTGTGTGTATGTGCCAGTATGAGCAAAAATGAAAAGAAACAGTAATGAATTTACTGAGTTATTTTGGGAAGGTAGAACTAGAGAAGGAATTATTCTGTCTTCTCACCCCTAAACATCCCCTAAAAACCAAGTCTCAGTTGAGAACAGCTGCTAACAGTCACTTACTGGGACTGACTATTCCTCAAAGTCACTATATATAAATAAATGCTTTTCCTTCAAGTCAGATGTCCTCAGTGGTTTTAGGAAAGGGCTTTTTAAAATACAACATTAAGGGCTGGGAAGATGACCCTGGGTAAAAGCACAACTCGAAGGACTTGAGGTTGAATTTCTAGAACCCACAAATAAGCCTGATGTATGGTATAAGCACAGTAATTGCAGGACTTCTGAAAGGTTGAGGGCCAACCCTGGATACAACAAGAGACCCTGTCTCAAACAAGGTAAGGACCAACCCTGGGGGGACTTGGACCTCCACAGAGAGGAATACATGTATGCCTGTACATCCATTAATTAAAAGTTGGCTTTTGGGGTATGTTTCTTGATACAATGCCTCACCATGTACACCAGGCTGGCTTTAACTCACAGAGATCCACCTGCCTCTGCCTCCTAGGTGAGGGGATTAAAGGCATGTGCCACCATGCCCCCCAAAATTAAGTTTTAAATGTACACACACACACACACACACACTTCTATAGCTCAGTGGTAGAACGCTTGCCTACCAAGTGTGAAGCCATGGTTCATCCCGAGTAGCTTTTTAAAACTGGAGGTATAACCCTGAGTGGGGCATGCCTGCAAGGGCACTAAGGAGGAATGAGTTGTGGATGGCTCAAGGGCTGCCAAGGCAACACATAAAAACAGTCTCAAAAAAGAAACCCACTACTATCACCACCACCCAATCAAGATAAAGAACATTTCTACTTCTACTCAAGTTTTCTTCTACCTCTCTGCCTTCAACCTTCTCCTCACTTCTGGCCCTCAGCGCCAAGCATCCGTTTTTCATCCCCACTGCTTTTCAGAATGGCACACAGCACGACACCTCGGAATCCGGATTCTTCAAAACACTGCACGGCAGCACAAGAACAGCACTTCTCACTTGAGCGCTAAGCAGAATTCCACTGCAGCTTACCCCATAAGCTGTGGAAAGACACTCTAACCCTAACCCTAACCCTGTAGGTTACTTGAAAGCAAATTGCAAATTTAAAATTAACAGGAAGTTCAAAGAGAGCAAAGGGGAAGGGCCCTAAGGTAGGAACAGTTGTTCAAGTGGGACTACAGCAGCTCAGCGAGGTGTCAGCGGCCCTAAGCAGAAAGGGGAGGGGAGTCTGCCTTGGCCTGGGTCCTCAGGGTCGGGCACAAGAGACCCAGGTCCACCTTCTCCCACGCCTCCTTCCTGCATTGTTCAACGCTACAACAACTAACTGCATACAAATCCCCAGGAGGCGGATCGGCTTGATGAGGTAGCGCACGACCCACACAACTCACACTCCGCAAACCGGGACGTGGGGACGCAGACCCCGCGGGCTTACCTGCGGGTCCCCTGAGCCCCTGAGCCATAGCGCCGGCCAAACCTGCAGTTGGGCCACAAGATGGCTCCCCAGAGTTCACTTTCGTTTCCTGGAAAAGCCGGCTTCCCCCGCCCGATGGCTGGGCCAGGAGGAGGAGTTTGCTCTCGGCCCCAGAGAAGCATCCCGCCCACCCCAAGGGCTGGACCGCGGCAGTCCCCACTCACGGCCTTCCTCGCCACTCCGCCTTCGCTAGCAATGCACTATTCATATGTTAGCTGAGAGCTGGGGTGCAATTTATGTCACCGACAAGCTTATTTTGGCTCACGGTATTTTGGAAAGCTTCACTTGGGCACTCAACAGCACCCCTCTGCCCAGTGAGGAAGTTCCTTTTCCGTGTTTAATCCCAGTTAAGAGATTTACAAGTCTGTCCCTTTCCAGCGTGACTATCAGGCAGATGCCCTGTCCCCACTAGCCCCGTCCACCCTGTTGGCTGCCTCAAACTTCATACCTTCTTGTGGATATTCATATCTTCTTGCATATTCTGTTACTTGGTCTAGAATGTTCCTCCTTTCCCTTGTTTTTGGTCTTTGAGACAGGGTCTCATTCTGTAACCCAGGCTAGTCTGGAACTCAGTATGTAGCTCAGGCTGGCCTTTACCTCACCATACTTCTCCTGCTTCTGCCTCCTGAGTGCAGGGGATTATAGACGTGCACCACTGGGCCTGGCTTTCCAGCAGGCACTTGCACTAGTACTTTCTGTGAAGCTGTTTTTCTTTTTCTTTTTCCCCCCTGTTTTAAAATATACTTACATTAGTAAATATACATTTCAATAAGATCTACAGTGAATGACAATGCATTCTGGGAAGCTTCACATCTAGGAAGAAGTTAAGAGAATGTACATCCAATCACAGTTTATAGTGTGTTTCTTATTGCCACTCTGCCAGTCACATTGAACATGTCATTACATCATTTGTGTGGGACATCAATTTGGTTGGGGAAAGGGAAGCAAACACTATCCTCAATGGTGTTCATTACAACTTCGGAGAAATTCCTCCGACAGCCTAGACAGTTTCAGTAAACATGTTAGGGGCAGCAGACACAGCCTTTGAGGCCCAGACACACTTTCTTGTATATTGTGTTGTGTTCGCCACCTACAGTGGGTAGTCAGGATGGTCTTCAGGACAGCATGGTCACAGGACTGGGCCAATCCCAAGAGGCTGACAGGTGGTTTGAGGATGGGGAAGGGGCTACCTTGAGTTGTTTCACTTCAGAGACACCTGTGACAAAGTCCCCAGACTTATCTGGCATAGTGTTTGATGTATTCATCCACCTTGTTAAGTGAAATCATCCTTGTCTGGCAAATGATGTTCTGCAGCTCTGTGAAGCTGTTTTTCAAAACCTGACCTGCTTCTCACATTGTGTCCCAGGCAGGTCTTCCCCTCCAGGTAGGGGGACAGCAGTGAGGAAATGGGAGTTTGCATTGCAGATTCTACTTGTCAGCAAGTGGGCACTTACAGCCAACAAGACATTTCACATTCCTGGGCACCCACTGTGTGCAAGTGTTCAGCACCCAGCACATGGTACACATCAGAGCCCAAGCATGCAGAAGTCTGGGCAAGATGGATGGCCCAAAAGTCAGTCCCAATCATGGCCTTCCTGCTGGTAGAGCTGCCTTCAGGGATCTCTGGGGCAGGCCTGTGGGCAGGGCTGTTTAGCTGTATCCCCTGCACAGTGAGTCCACAGAAGGTAGGTGGATGAATAACAGTACATTCAAATAAGCAAAACAATGTGCAAAACAGGAACTTTGCAGGAGGGAATAAAAAATAACAATGAACACATGAAAAGAGCTCAATTGGGTGCCATCCGGGAACCTCAGTAAAGGAGGTCATAGGAATTACAGTGTTACTGTCCACTCACCAGTTAGGCACCATTAACTAGCACAAAGGACCAGGTCTGAGCAGCCCTCAGTCACTGTAGGAAGTCACTACTTATGAAAACACACCCCATGATTTAACCATTCCATGCCTCTAGCAGGATAGCCTCCAAAACACTGGAAACAAAGAACGTATGAGTCTACCCAACAAAAACAAGCAAATGTGCCAACATTAGAATATTATACAGCAACTGAAGTAAAATTGGGAAACAATGCGAAATACTGAGAGAAGACATGCGAAGTCCCTGACCAGGCAACACTAAGCTGTATCATGCACTGCACAGTCAGGTCCATCTCCATGGGGAAGCTGCTCTGAATGGCAAGAATATTCTGGGTGCTAGTTATAGTCCAGTTTTTCACCTGGGTCATGGCTACATATGTTCACTCAACTGAATTGTTATGTACTGGTGATTTATTAATGCTTACATGTAGACGCATGCTATTGCTATATTCCACAACTTTAAAAAGGCAAAGGAACAGAGAGAACCATTTCTCTCTGCAGTAATCCGAGCCCACCTCCCCATGTGCTCCATTTACAGTCTTCACGGTGCCTTACCTCTGCTTTCTTGCCTTGCTGGTAAGTAATCAGGAAGAATCTGGAGGAGCTTTCATGATGTCTCCAGTGCAGGCAGCTGTCCTCCCAGCAATTCTGTCCTCTGTGAAGCAAACACAGGAAGGGAGAGCTCTCAATACAGAACTCTTTCCTACAGGTCATTTTATGCCTTGGAAGAACAACTGTTGTCACAATCTCAGCAACTGAGTACCACACGCAGTATCATTCATAAACCTTTGTCTCCTCTCCTCTGAGAGCTGTCTTTCCTGTCCCAGGCTGTAACAGAGATCTCTGTACTGTTCTGTTTATTATGTTTGTTATGAAAATGTTCAGAAAACACAAACAAGTATACACAATGAAAACCAACTTCCTGCTTCCACTGTCAGTTGGTGGGTGCACCCCTTCTGCAGCTTGAGGGTCCTGGGAACACACCAGGTGGTTGTCCCATCACAAACAGTTCACTTCCCTAGGAATTTAGTTGACTCCTGTCAGGTTCTCAGATAACCTCAGTTCAGCCTTCAGTGTATTTACCTCTAAGGGTTACTCATTATTCACCACCCAAATAATTCAGGGTTATGACTAAAACAAGGTATCACAAAAACACAAACCAACCCTTTAGCGCTGGGAGACGCCTGGCTTCACTGTGACAAGGCTCCAGTTCCACGTGCGCCTTCAGGAGCTGCCACTCCCCAGTCCCCACTAGCCTTGCTTTTAACTGCAGTTACTGTTCCCTGGGTGAGCTGTTGTACATTTTGCTTAACCTCACTCCCGTGGAGAGATGCATGTCTACAACAGTTCTTGACTCTGTAATTTCCCGTAACCAGATTTCAGTACACAGATGGCTGTCTACCTGCAGGTGGAGCATTTGCCTCAACAGTATAGCAGTGTCTGCTCACCTTCAGTGCGGCTCCCACTGGGGCACTGCCCGGGACCGCATGCTACATAAACAACTAGCAATGTGCTATCAGAGGGAGTAGTGAGCTGAGTAGCGCTGAGCTACTAAGTACTAATCGTATTAGTATTATTTTAACTACTCTAAGTTCTGTGTGCTTGTGCACGGGGAATGGGTACATGCACATGAATACAGGTGCCTTAGGAAGTCAAGAGGTCTCCGATCCTCTCGAAGCTGGAGTTTCAGGCAGTTGTGAACCACCTGAACTGCCTGATGTGGGTGCTAGAAATTGAGCCAGGTCCTCTGCAAGAACAGCATATACAATCTCCCCAGCCCCAAGCGCATTGTATTTTTTAAGAGAATATGTATATAAATACCCTCAAGTTCTTATCCTCACTTTTTTTCAATGTAGGAGACTGAACCCAGTGGCCTTGCCTATGCTAAGGTAAGTGCTCTACCACTGAGCCAAATCCCACACCCTATATCCTAGCTCTTAAGAAACATAGTCTGTGGAGATGGTAGGCATAAATTTATTAGTCTCTGTTCTCTCTGGGCTTTTTTTCCTTCATGTTCTCTCCCCTGTCCCGGGGTCTTACTATATATCCCTGGCTGTTCAGAAACTTGCTATGTAGCCCAGGCTAGCCTTGAACTCCTGCTTCAGCTTTCTGAGTGCTGGGATATAGGTTTGTACCATCATGCCCAGCCTCTTCGATATTTATCACTGGGCTTTTCTTTCCAGCAAGACAGCTGCTATCCCTGCAACATTCCTTTTCAGAGCTCATAAGGACCTTCCCCAACAATCTAACTTGCTCAGATAATCTGAGGGGCTTTCAGGAGACAGGAGAATGAGGCATCAGCTAGTTATATTGACCCTGAGAGATATCCTATGGATGCCAATAGCCAGAACCAGCTTTTGGTTTTGTTTTTTTGATTTAGGGTCTCATATAGTCCAGAGTCACCTTGAACTCTACACACAGCTGAGGCTAACTCTGAGCCTCATCATCCTGCCTATACCTTCCAATGGTTGGGAGTACAGACGTATGCCACCAAACCAAACTTCCTATTTTTGAAAATTACAAGAAAGCAAGAACTATTGTGGGTACTCACCCTGCCCCCCAAAAAACAGAGGTCTCCAGAAAAAGGGACATGATTTTATTACTGAGTCAGAGTTCTCCAGGAAATGAAAGGAAAAGCCATCTATGACAGGCATGTATTAATGACAATGCCAAAACAAGTGTAAAAACAATGGGACATATAGCTTCATGAGCAGCCCACAAAGAGACTACACACCTTATGGCTCTGTGTAGTAAATCCTGCCTGGCACTCAAGCTGCCTGTCCTATGCAAGGTCAGTACTGTGAGCAGCACTTGACCAGTTGCTGGGGTGGCTGAGGCCAGTAGAGACTCAGCTACCGCCTACATCTGGGTTCCACTGAGTTAGAATGCAGGTAGGAGATTCTCACCAACTATCCTTTGCCCCTGCCCCCGCCCCAAGTCCCAGCCTGTGAGCTCTGCTCAGTCAGAGCTCCTGCAGAGTAGCAGCCTCATCTCCAGTCTATAAGAAGTGGAGGGGGTAAGTGCTGGATCCTGGGTGGCAGCAGCAGACTGGGCTCAGTGTTACAGTGTTTCTTGGGAAGCAGGTGGATTTCACTAACAGCCAATTCACAGAAAGC